AGTCCCTCACGTCGGACAGCGCTAAGGACTCGGACAGCGCGGGCGAGGCGGGCGCGCAGGCCTCCAGCAAACACCAGAAGCGCAAGAAGAGGCGGAGACGGCAGAAGGGCGGCAGCGCCAGCCGCAGCGCTGTCCAGCGCGTCGAGCCCCGGCCTGGACGCGGGCCTGGTGGAGCCCCCGCGCCTGCTGTCCTCCCCCAACAGTGCTCGGTGCTCAAGATCAAGACGGGAGATCTCCGAACCCATCACTTCGACAACGACAGCAGCATCTGGGACTACCCGCCCAACAGGGAGATCTCCAGAAACGAGTCCCCCTACAGCATGACAAGGCCCCCCAACTCCGAGCACTTCCCATCCCCGCAGGTCAAGGGCGCGGGGGCGGCGGCAGCGGGGGCGGTGGGGGCCTGCACGTGGCCATCCCCGACTCGGTCCTCACCCGCCGGGCGCAGACAGCGCAGCCACCCCGCAAGACTCAGTTTGGCGCCTCGGCCACCTCGGCCTTGGCCCCCGTCACCTCCGACCCCCTGTCCCCCCCGCTGTCAGCATCCCCGCGGGACAAGCACCCGGGGGGCAGCGGCGGCGGCGGCAGCAGCGGGGGTGGCCCCAGCGCGTCCAACTCCTTGCTGTACACGGGGGACCTGGAGGCGCTGCAGAGGTTGCAGGCGGGCAACGTCGTGCTCCCGCTGGTGCACAGGGTGACCGGGACCCTGGCGGCCACCAGCACGGCCGCGCAGAGGGTCTACACGACGGGCACCATCCGCTACGCGCCCGCCGAGGTGACCCTGGCCCATGCAGGGCAACCTGCTGCCCAACGCGCACGCTGTTAACTTCGTGGACGTTTAACAGCCCGGGCTTCGGCCTCGACCCCAAGACGCCCATGGAGATGCTCTACCACCACGTGCACCGGCTCAACATGTCCGGACCGTTCGGCGGCGCCGTGAGCGCGGCCAGCCTGACGCAGATGCCCGCGGGCAACGTGTTCACCACGGCCGAGGGGCTCTTCTCCACGCTGCCCTTCCCCGTCTACAGCAACGGCATCCACGCCGCACAGACTCTGGAGCGCAAGGACGACTGAGGCGCCCCCGTGCGGGCGCTCGGCGTGGAGGCATCGCGGGCGTTTTCGTTTAGACCTTTATTCTAGCACTTTGAATTTGAGCAGGTCAGCGTCACCTCTCCACACGACGGTCCCCACCCCGGCCCCCCTTTCTTTAACTTGACTTATTCTTTCCTGTAAAGATATGTTTATTTTTGGCCTTCAGAGGGTCCGAGGACCAGTTGCCTGCCGTTTTGTCTTCTTCTAAGATGTGTGTTGGGTTGTTTTGCTTTCCTTTGCATCTTTATTAAGATGTCTTTAATGCGTATATGCCTCTGCCATAGAATACTCAGTCTTGTGGTCAAGAGATTTCTCCAGTGACAACCATTGGGTTTTCTTCATCGAGATCTTGATATGATCAAGATTGAAAGAGACACGCATAAACAATGTGCCCTGTTTGACTAAGTCAAATGAAATGGGGTGGTTTTTGGTTTTGTTCCTAATTCCTTTAAAAATAGAGGGGATAGTATTTTAGAATTTTATGCAGAATTTAATTCTCTTTTTATGGTTAAGATTTTAAGATTTTCTTACTTGCACATAAAAATAATTTGGGTTCTTAAACTTAATTTCTGGCCTGTGACTAGAATGTTTGAAAAAACAACAACAACAGTGGGACTAAATGTTAATTACTGAAACATTAACTTAATTTCTAAAACCATGGTGCTATCATTTATTAATCTGTAATGTCTTCATATAAAATGCAGCTCCTGGGCTGGGTTTTGGGGGAAAAAAAAAAATGTGTTCTGTCCTGGTCTGGAGTCCATTGCTGCAGTCTCCTTGGTTAGTTAAGACAAAGCCCTCATTAACGTTTGCTGCAGGACTTAAAATTTTTTACCTCCCAACTAACAAACATAGCCTCACATTAAATGCAATGGGTCAGGAAAGCCCTTTTTAAAGGGGCTTTTGGGAAACTCGATCAAACTGATTTGAGGAGCAGTTTAGGTACATCCTGCCTTTCGTTGAGCTTCCTCCCCCCACCCCCTTTTCTCAGTCTAACTGAGGCTAATTTTTGCAACTTCAATAACACTTCAGAGTAAAAGAGGGAAAATATTTAACATCCTTTAATTTTTTTTTCATTTCTTGCTAAAAAAAAAAAAAGCTTGTATTTTGGGGGGACTGATTTGATTTGATGGAATTTCTTTTCCCTTTGATTCTCTTATTTCTAGGTTGGAACCAATACAGTTTAAAAATAAAGAATGGGTTAATAAGCTTCAAACAGATAACTGCAACTGAAAACTGCACATTAAGTACAAAAAAAAAGAAAAAGAAAAAGAAAAAAATATCCTATTTTGTCTTTGTTGCCAGAAATCAGTGTAGTGTCAAACACTCCAAATGACTGTCAAGTATAAATTCTTCTTCCACTCCATTTTTGGCAGCTGTTTGTTAAGGCATCTAATAACGGATGTGAGAACTGTAATGTGTGCAATGTGTACATGTCCTTGGCTGTCGTCCATTGCAGTTTCAATGTGTGTTTCTATATGCAGTATATACTAAGCTAATGTAGTTGTTTTGTCCTTTGTCTTCTCTGTGCTCTATCTCTAGTCTGGAGTGGTCCCGTCCCATTCCTGCAGTCCTAGTGAATCAGTGATTCTTGGGGGTTAGTGATTTTTGTGTGGTGGCCTTCCTCTGTAATGTCACCCCTATGCTGCTTCTACTGTCTGTGAACCTTCCGTTTCACTTTATAAAATTCCTGCTGTTGCCTAACTGGTGTATATTCTCCCGACCCCTCCTATCTTTCCCTCCCCCTCTCCTCTCCCCTTTCCCTTCCTCATCTTTCCTTCCCCGTTCTCCAAAACCTTTTTCATTCTCAGAGATAAAAAGACTCTTAACTAGCTCAAGGTTAATGGAGCCATTTTTCCCACATGGAATTCTGGTATGACTCTTTCTTCCAGAGTGAAGAGTAATGCTCAGATATATTCAATAAATTGATGCCATATAGCCTCAGTTGTTAACATTCCCAGAGTCCCTTGTGCTCTACCTATAGCAGTGGGTGCTTTTCTTTGGTTTCCTTCCAGGTTGGCTGATGGAGCAATATATAAAGCAATTACCAGTGAGACAGAAAATTAGTTCAAAGGTCAACCAACATTGTTTAAAACAGAAGGGGAAGGTATAATGGAATATAGGATTGTCATATATATTTGTTTATGCGTGCAATGCTACTATAGTAACTCAGCTGTCCTTTGAATATCACTGTGTTGAGTGAATTCCTCTAGGATCTTTGATTCCATGAGTTGGGCCCAAACCACTGTGGAATAATGACAAAATAAAGTCATCATTTAATAATGAACTTAGTTCAAGGATTTAATAGGTTTAGAAGGTGAAGAAGGCTAACCACGAAATTTAAACATTAATTTTGGAAGCTCTACTCTAGCTATCGAACAATCAAAGGAATGCACCTATCAGCTACAAAGAACAGCTAAATAGCTGTTTGTTTTTCTTTTATAAATGTTTCTGTGTTGTGTCAAAATGATTTCTGGTGATTTAAACTAACAGATAATCACAGCTGCTGTCTAAATCCATAGTGTTAAAATTACAAAACGAAAAAAAAAAACTTCATTACCTGTGAAGACTGTGTCTGTCTGTGTTTTTAACTATTTCTTGTACAAATATATGAAAACTTTTATGAGGAGACTGGTGCCAAGTAGCTGAATAATGGGGAAAGGGATATTCTGTTTGTAAAAATCTTAGCAGTGTTACCAACTCTACCACACATATATATATAAAAATTAAAACATTACAAAGCGACAGCTATGATACATTTGTTTTGTGTGAAGCTAACCGGACCTAACTTCCTGAGTGCCTGGCTTATTTTGAAACATTTTTTTTCATTGACCATTGATAATGCTGCAAATCAGAAATGTACATACTTCATTTACAACAGGGTTCTTTTTATACTTTTGTAGATTCTCATACATGTCACATACATGGTTGTCTTTATGTAACTTAATTTTTTCATCCGCAGGTGCCATTTTCATAATAAACTTCTCTTGGATTTGTTACTATCTGGCATCATTTCTTTTACATGTAACCATCCTAACTAATGAATGCTGGTAGTATTTGTTTAAGCAGGTACCTTGGTCATTATTCTCAATTAAAAGAAAAAAAAGAAAAAGTAAAAAAAATTAAAAAGATGCATTCATATTTTTGCTAGTTTTGGAAAAAAAATGTATAGCTTGTGTACTATGAGGCTGACAAGGCACAGTTTAAGATGCTAATCCAAATACTACACAAACTTGCAACCATCCTAAATTTTCAGCTACCCCAACTCATTGTCATACTAAGCATTACTATGCACGCTACCCAAGCCGAGTGATGGGCCTGCAACATTAACCACTATTGGCAGTGTGCATTCTTTTATTAATGCACAGTAAGTGATGACAGTTTTCATACATTAATCATTTAAATGCACTCAATATTTTCATTTATTACAAGCTATAATGTTTAACCAACTATTCTATTGCTTATGTCTTCTCTTAATACTAATTTTGTATTCTCTTTCTCCAGACAAGCTGAGTAAGTCATGTTTGTAGCCTGTCACGTTCTAAGGCAGGCCAGCAAGCTAACTCAAAAAAAAGAAAGAAAGAAAGACATTTTCATTGCTATCTCAGAGTTAAGGATATCGATGGGTCACCTGTTAAATCTGTACTGTTCACAAAATGAAGAGATCTAAATGAGTTAAACTGAAAGAAAAGACAAACAGTTTTGTGCAAAAGCTACCAACTATAGTAAATCTTATTCTCTAATTTAAGTCTTCAGTGACACTTGCCAATTTGAGGGTACTTTTTTAATTAATGGAGGGGTGCTTCAGACTGGTGGACATGAAAATGTATTTATGATGTGGGGTGCTACATTTCTCTTTGTGGGCCATTGAAATAAGCACATAAAAATTAGAAATAAGGAGAGGGTGATTGAAACACAGAATTGGATTCTCCCAACTATTTTTCCAAAATGTATCATTCCCTTTTGCTCTTGAGAAGAATATAGTATAGCAAGATTTAGAAGAAATTGAGGAAGCTAGAAACTCAATCCTGTGTGAAGCCAGATTACCCAAGGTGTCGTCTAGGTCTATAGGCATTGATGAAGGTGGCTCTTAGTGGGGGTGTCCAGAGCTTTGCCTAGTGGAGGCTCTATGAAGGCAGAAAGGCAGTTGGGATTAAGGCAGTTGAGTGTGGGATTGGGCCGACCCCTGTTGGTTGAATGGCCATAACACTACTTCAGCCCTGTGATCTAGATGTGGTGGCAGAGGAGCTTGAGAAGGAAAGTCAGACATGAATTGAAATCCTCCCGGTATTTGGAGCTTCTGCAGGAGCAGTGGTAGAAATTCTGGATTCTTACTCAAGTGCAAGTCTCCTTTAACACCAACAAGTTCCTTGTCCTTCATTTGTTCCCATCAATGCTAAAATATGTCACTAATGAGATGAAGAACATCTTTTAGTCAGACTCGCTGACAATCGTGAAGTCCCGGCCACTAGTGCAGCCTGAGGCCCCGCAGTCAGGCCAAGGCCCTGGGCTCCCAGAGAACCAGCACTGCTTCTTGCCAGGCTGCCAGCAAGTCAGTTTGCAAGGCTCCAGTTTGTAGGTGATGGACAGAAAAGGGGTCACTGGCCAGCTCTTTGCACCTTGTCTCCTTCCAGCCGATGCCTATACTTGTTTATTTGGCAAAGAGGAACAAGATAAAAGATAAAGCAGTAGGCAGGATGACAGGGAAGATATGCACTCAGTGGAGCAAAAAGAAAGTGGTTTCAGTCCTTGTGGACTATAATCTTACCCATCTTTGCCTACTCTTACATGAAGCCTATTTAAAAGTTTACAATTGGGCCTTTGCATTGCATTAAAGGTAATAGATAATGTATATTATCAAGCCCAGAAGATAATCTGTTCAAGCCAAGGAGATTATTATCCAGGTTCAAAAAGTTGAAAGATCTAGGGACTTGGGAGAAAACGAAGACTGTCTTTGCCAAAATTTCATATCATGTAGTGCAAAAAAGACGAACTTGTCTTGAGCATTATTCCCAAAGAAGGATGACAACTAGCAGACTTAGAAAACAATCTGGAATGCTCAGGTAAGTGAACACACGAGCTGTCCTGCTTTGCTGCGTCTCCTAGGAACCATTATAAAGAAGGGGGGCTGACCTAGTAAACTCCCCATGGGCACAAATCATGGCTTGTTCATCTTCACGTCCTCCCATAATGCCCAACTCAATGATTTACAAATAGTCTTGGCTCCGTAGAGATCTGCCAAATACTGATGGATGAGGACATGTGAAAAATGAAAATGAAACATGACTTGTCAAGAAGCGAAGATTCCACTAGAAATGTTCATGTGGTTTGGCAGGATAGCTTGACTTCTATCAAGAAAGGGATGGCAAAATGGATAAAGCTGCAAGTTCATTCATTCCTGCCTTTTCAGGTAGTCCACATGGCTGGCAGAGAGTTGGCTGGCC